TAATTTTGTTATTTTATTGAAATGAGGGGTCTATATACATTTAACGTTGAACATGATATAGTTGGCTTTCCATCTATCACCCTGATACTAGTTTCCTATTTGTCTCTTTCTGGTCCTTCTTTGAATTAGTCAAGCATTATTTGTTCCTCTCTTCTAGTTTTTTAGTTATACATTTTTTATATGTGCATATGCATTTTTAAGTAGTTGCCTAACAGATTACAATATGCATCCTTGGTTTATTAGATTCCGCTCTAAATTTGTACTTTTAACAGTTGCTGAAAAATACAGGAAACTTGCAACAATATAACTTCATGAATTCTGCTGTCCTTTATGTTAGTCTTGTCATATTTTATACTTCTATATATGTTTAAACTATACTATTCATTGTTACTATTATTTAATTAAATTAATTTATTTATTTTTGGCTGCGTTGGGTCTTTGTTGCTGCACGTGGGCTTTCTCTAGTTGTGGCGAGTGGGGGCTACTCTTTGTTGCTGTGCGCATGCTTCTCTTGTTGCGGAGCACAGGCTCTCAGCGCACGGGCTTCAGTAGTTGTGGCATGTGGGCTCAGTAGTTGTGGCTTGCGGGCTATAGAGCGCAGGCTCAGTAGTTGTGGTGCACGGACTCAGTTGCTCCGCGGCATGTGGGATCTTCCCAGACCAGGGCTCGAAGCCATGTCCCCTGCACTGGCAGGCAGATTCTTAACCACTGTGCCACCAGGAAAGTCCCACTATTATTTTAAATGTTAATATTTTTATTTATCTACATATTTACCTTTCCATTCCTATTAATCCCTCTAGTTTTGTGCCGTTTTCATTTAGCTGGATGAATTCTCTTCATTTGTTACAGGTTATCTTAGCTTTTGTTCATCTGAAACTATTATTGTTTCATTTTTGTGTTTGGAGGTTATTTTCTCTTAGTATAGAATTCTAGGTTGGTTGTTGATTATTTTCTTTTTCTGTCTTAGCACTTTAAAGATGTCATTTTTTAAATATTCTATTTCCATTATTTCTGATAAAAAATAGGTTTTTAGTCTAATTGCCATTCACCTGAAGGTAATGTGTTTTATTTTCCCTGGCTACTTTTAAGATTTTCACTTTGACTTTGGTTTTTAGGACTTTGAAGTATCTACCCATGGTTTTCTTCATATCCTGCTGAGGTTTGTAGCGCTTCATACGTTTGCTAGAGACTCATGTCTTTTGTTAGCTTTGGAAAATTCTTGAGCAGTATTCTTATTGCTTATGTGTTATTTTCTCTTCTCTACATTTTTTCTCTTTTTTTGGCTGCACTGCATGGCTTGTGGGATTTTAGTTCCCCGACCAGGTATCAAGCCCATGTCCTTGGCAGTGAGAGCACGGAGTCCTAACCTCTGGACCTCCAGGGAATTCCCTCTCTTCTACTTTTGTAACTCCAGTTAGATGTGTTTTAGGCCTTTTCACTGTGACGTACATGTCTTTCTTTACATTTTCTGTTCATATTTTCTCTCCTTTGTATCTTTTTGATGTGTTGTATTTTCTATGCGTTTGTTGCTCCCTTTGACTTAAGAATTCTAGGCTTTGCTGAAATTCTCCATTTGTCCTGTTTGTTTTTTGCCTTGAATATATCAACCAGTCATTTTTAAAGTCTCTCAGATAACTCTAAAATGTGAATGACCTATGTGTCTTCCCCTGTTTTCTATTATTTCTGTTTGTTGTCCATCTACTTTTTTTTTTTTAATGGAGATGAAATTCGCATAACATGAGGTTCATCATTTTAACCTTTAAAAGTACAGGCACCCCTCAGAGATATTGTGGATTCAGTTCCAGACCACCACAGTACAGTGAATATTGCAATAAAGCTAGTTACAGAAATTTTTCAGTTTCCCAGAGCATATAAAAGTTATGTTTAGACTGTACTGTAGTCTATGAAGTATGCAGTAGCACTGTGTCTAAAAATCAGTGTACATACCTTAATTAAAAAATATTTTATTGCTAAAAAATGCTAACCATAATCTGAACCTTCAGTGAGTGATAATCTTTTTGCAATAGTAACATGAAAGGGCACTGCTCACAGACCACCATAACATATATAATAATCATGAAAAAGTTTGAAGTATTGTGAAAATTACCAAAATGTGACACAAAGACATGAAGTGAGCAGATGCTGTTGGAAAAATGGTGGCACGATCCACTTGTTCCACACAGGGTTGCCACGGACCTCTGATTTGTAGAAAAACATGGTACCTGTGAAGCACAATAAAATGAGGAATCCCTGTATACAATTCAGTGGGTGTTAGTATATTCATAGTGCTGTGCAGCCATCACCATCATCTAATTCTAGGACACTATCACCCCAAAGAAGAAAACTAATGACCATTGACAGTCAACCTCAGTTCTCCCCTCTGCCCGTCCCCTGGCAAAGACTGATCAGTCAACTTTCTGTCTCTCCGGCTTTGCCTATTCTGGACAGTTGATATAAATGGAATCATACAATGTATGGCCTTTTGAGTCTGACTTCTTTACTTAGCATAGTGTTTTCAAGATTTGGCCATGTTGTAGCTTGTATCACTACTTCATTCCATTTTGTGGCTGAAGAATATTCCATTGTGTGGATATTTACCACATTTTGTTTATCAATTCATCAGCTGAAGGACATTTAGGTTTTTTTCTACCATCTGGCTATTATGAATAGTGCTGCTGTGAACATTCACGTATGTTTTGTGTGAATGTACGTCTTCAGTTCTCTTGGAGAACCAGGAGTGGAATTGCTAGGTCATATGGTAACTCTATGTTTAACTCTTTGAGAAACTGCTAAAGTGTTCTCCACAATAGTTGCACCCTTCTACAATCCCATCAGCATGTACGAGAGATTTTCTCTGCATTCTTGCCAACGCATGTTACTTTCTGTAGTTTTAAAAATTATTATAGCCATCCTAATGGGTGTTGGCCATTTATTCTTATTTTTTTAGAATGCCTTGTAACTTTTAATTGACAGTTTATTGACTTGTTAGGGCTGATCTGTTTCAATTTTTGTCTTAGTCCAAGGAGAGGCTTTTTTGAAGTCTCAACAGAGAGACTGAATTGTTTTTGAACACCTGTCTGGTTTGGTGGGGCCTACACTCCAATCTTTGTCTCCCTCGAACTGGGCAGAAGCTGAAATCTCTTTTCAGCTCTTTTGCTTCCGAACTGCTGTTTTCTGCTAGTTTTGTTGAATTTACCCCTCTTTGTGTTTCTTCCTCTCTGGAACTTGTTTCTTTAATTTCCAGCTCTCTATTAGCCAAAAATTCTGTCTTCTCTCAGTCTAGTAGGACTGCCACTTTCTACTTGGACTCTATTTTCCTGTTATACAGCAAAGTAAAGGAAAAAGCGAAGTTGATTATGGGGCTGATTTTCTATTTTTCCCTTCTTTCAAGAGTTGTAGCCCCTCTTGTTCCTCTCTGTGTACATTACTCTTCAGTGCCTTCAAATGGTTTCTACATTTGTCTAGATTTTGTAACTTTTATTAGCAAGAGGGTTGGTTTGGTACAAGCTAGTCTGTTATGATGGGAACCACGCATACTGATGTTTCATGAATTGAATCACGAGAAAATGAAAAACTGATACCTATTGAGAGTGAGAGCATGAATTTTCAAGAGAAAATCTGGACAAGGATATAGGAGAAAGGAATTTTATTTTCAAGCAAGAGGGCCAAGTCAGCCATATTGAAGGATGGTAAAGGATGATTTAAAGTGAGATATGTGACACTAAGTTGATATTTAGTAAGTTTTTTGAAAATGGAACAAAGTGTTTAAAGAATACAAATTGGATGAAGAATTTAAGATAAAAATTGAAGAGAAAATATTTAATGAGCAATTATTGGATTGGATTTAGTAGTGAAGAAATTAAGATTATGAATTTGGAATGAGTACTCTTAGAGTAGTACTTGGTTAATTTTGTAAATGTTAGTGGTTATTAGGTGGTTGGAGATTTGAGTGTTTACTGTGATGTCTAAAGAACAATGTATATTGGGTAAGTATGCCAGGGAGGATTGTGTTCGCAAAATCTGGGTGGTACAGACACAGTAAACATATGGGAGGAAGAGAATGACTGAAGTTCTAGGAATGGACATTATGTTTAAAACGTAGACAAGTAGAGAAAGAAGGCAGAAATAGATTTGTAAAGAACAATACTTCCCTATCCTCTTGTAGGATTAAAAAACTGGGGTTTGGAAAGAAACTAACTATGTGCTTTCTCTACCCAAATATTCGCAAGAAGGGAGCCAGGTGTTATAGAGCACCTTGTATCTGTGTTTTTCCTTTCGCCCTTTTGTGAACTCTCAAGGTTAGTCAGTGATTTTTTTCACACTTTCATTAGGAAATTTGCCAAAGGCATCCTTTTGAGGCAGCTGTCTCTGTACCCTTGGAGGCCATCAGTAATGTTTCCAATCCATAGGAGTAGTCGGCACAAAAATGTTGGGCTGAGTCTTTGCGGTTTAAAACATTCCCCCTCCAAAACCACTCCCCCTCCTCAAACAGTATAAAATATATCACATTTTGAAGCTTCTGGTCCTTAGTCTTTTGTTACTATATCTTTTCAGGTAAAATTCATCATTAATAGTAAATATATCCAAATATATTAATAATGAAAGGAGACTTAATTTTTAAAACATAATTTAAATAACAACAATAGTGGGCACATTAGAAATCCTTATACATAAATAAATAAGAATTCTTTTTGTATAGAATGTTATAATTTTTAATTTTCACTGTAAAGTAGAATATACTTGAATCATGGTGTTCTTTTGGTCTAAGGTGGTCGGATGATATGTTCATGCTAATGATCTTGTGAAGTCTTTTGAATCTTGTGAAGCATATTAAATATGATGTTGTTAAGTCCATGATTAAAATGCATTAGAATAAGTTGAAATGCATTTGTGTTTTTGTCCCTATTCAACTGAATAGTATAGGCAACTGTTATACCATATGCATCTTTAGTATATTAGTCTGACTGTTTTTCTTATTTTACTAAACTGTCTTCTTTCAGCCACCCACACAGAATATGCCTATGGGTCCTGGAGGGATGAATCAGAGCGGCCCTCCCCCACCTCCACGCTCACACAACATGCCTTCAGATGGAATGGTAGCTGGGGGTCCTCCTGCACCACACATGCAGAGCCAGATGAACGGCCAGATGCCTGGTAAGTTTTTCTCCTCTAAGACATTAACACCGGAGTTGCTTAGCAACTGAAACGACGTGGAGGCTCAAGGGATACTAGATTGTTGATGACAAAACTGCATTGAATGCCCCCGAGTCCAAGCTCTCTTAGAGTTTGTTAGCTACAGAGCTACGTGACCTGTATTCAGTGTTTATCAGGCTGCCCTTGGGCTTTGATGTAGCTGACACACAGCATTCCTCTGATGAACAGAACTGGCTAAATTTAGTCTGTCTGAAACTATGCAATACAGCTGGCTTTAGAAGCTTTTGGGGGAAAAAAGGCATTGTGCCATGGCTTAAGAATTAAGATCTGTTTATAAAAATGTGCAACATTTCTCTGAGTTTTGTATTTACTTAAAAATTTATTGGTCTCAGAAACAGTATTGCTGGAAAAGACACATGGGGAGAAAAAACAAAACAGGCTCTAAAGTGCTCATGTATTTAGTATTTCCTCATTGGTCTTTTGAAACTGAGTATGCATTTTTATGAATACATATGTTTATAGTATAGTAGAAATATGGAAATTGATATTGAAGCAAAATTAAAAGCTGAAAAGTGTCAGGTTTCTTATATAATGAACCATTTACTATTTATCCATTTTAAGTTTAGAGCCACTTAAAATATCTTTGAGACCGTTGGATGCTTATTTAGTTACCTTTTGCAAGCTCAGCAGCCATGGCTCATGGGCCCAGCCGCTCCGCGGCATGGGGGATCTTCCCGGACCAGGGCACGAACCTGTGTCCCCTGCATTGACAGGCGGACTCCCAACCACTGCGCCACCAGGAAAGCCCGGTGGTATCTTTAATTAGGATTTTGACTCAACTTCTCCAGATAACATTCAAGCCTAAGGCTGAGGAAGCAAGCGGCAGCAATATAATTATTGTCAACGTGACATTTTCGTTTTTATGTAAGGCTGTCTGGAGTAAGATATACTCTTTATGAGCGAGAGATTTTCAACCACTTATGTATGACCTAGATTGTCCAGAATACCGTAGAGCTTCTAAAACAATTTATAGTTAGAGAGTTTACAGTTAGGTGTAGGAGAAATTGGAAGTCCAGTTACTTATACTGTCTTTATTTAATAAGTTTTGTATAGTATTTAGCCAACCTTTTTATGCACACAAATTTGTAACTAGGCTTTTAATTTCCGATTTTAGTTTTGTTTTTAATATTTTATTTTATAATGTAAGTTGTAGTGCTTCTTATATGCTGTTTGATTTGTTCGTATATCCTCTTAGTCTTAGGTTACTTTTAAAAAAAATTCATTGATTAAAAAAAATTAGATAATACGTATCTATGGCACCAAAATAAAAAAGGTACAAAAAGGCATACAGCCCCTACCTACCCAGACTCTTTGTTCCAGACAGGCATTGGTACCCAGTTATCCTTGAAAAACATGCTATGCATGCATACATTCTATTTTCTTTCTTCTTATTCTTTTTTTAAAAACACAAATGGTAGCATATAGTAGATATTACTAGATATCATTTTTTTACCTCTTAAAGGTTTCTCTTGGAGACCATGAGTATATAAACATATATTTTGGAGACCACTCGGTATATAAAGAGCTGCCTCATTCCTTTTGATGACTGCACTACATTCTTTTTTATGGATGCCTCTAATTTTCTTGGACAGTTCCCTTCTGATAGAAATATAGGTTATTTCTAGTCTTTTGGTGTCAAAAATTATGCTCTTGTGACTATGCCTGTAAAATATAAATAAATAAGTAAACAGATGAACTTAAAATTTTGCATCCATACACGTACACACACAAAAACTTGTATATTTATAGGATAAGTTCCTAGAACTGAAATTGCTAGGTTAAAGGTATATGCATTTTATTTTTATTTATTCATTCATTCATTCATTCATTTATGGCTGCGCTGGGTCCTTGTTGCTGCATGCGGGCTTTCTTTAGTTTCAGGGGGCTACTCTTCATTTCGGTGCGCGGGCTTCTCATTGAGGTGGCTTCTCTTGTTGTGGAGCACGGGCTTTAGGCGTGCGGGCTTCAGTAGTTGTGACACGCGGGCTCAGTAGTTTTGGCATGCAGGCTCAGTAGTTATGGTGCATGGGCTTAGTTGCTCCGAGGCATGTGGGATCTTCCTGGACCAGGGCTCAAACCTGTATACCCTGCATTAGCACCACTTCCCCTGCACTGCGCCACCAGGGAAGCCCTAAGGGTATATGTATTTTAAAATATGGTAGTTATTACCATATTGGTTTACATAAAAATAGTAGACCAATTTATAGTAGACTTATTTATACATTTATATTCTCTCAACAAAGTATGAAAGTGCTTCTTTCTTCATAATATAATTGGAACAAAACTTTTCATCTTTGTAAATCTAAAAGGTGAAAAATGGATCTCATAGTTTTAATTTGCCTTTTTATTATATTAAATAAAGCAAGCAATTTTCTCATGTTTTATGACCCCTTTTGTAGTTTTCTTGTGAAATGATCATTCATATACTTGGCCCTTTTACTGCTGGTGGTCTTTTACTTGCTTTATATGTTAAGTAAGTAGTTTGGTCTGTGATATTTCTTGTAAATAATTTTTTCCCAGTTTATCTTTTTATTACTTAATTTTGTTTTGTTGGTCATGTGCAAATGTTTTATTTTTATGTACTCTACTTTATAAATCTTTTATGGTTCTGGGTTTTTTGGCATACTTAAAAAGGCCCTTACAGTCCAAGATTATTTATAAAATTCTCCGTTTTGCAATACTCTGTTATAATTTCTTTGCTTTTTCTTCTTTTTTAATGTTTAATTTTTTTATTCATCTGGACTTAGTTTTGGTAGAAGAAATGTGGTAGGGACCCAACCTGTATTTTTCCAGATATCTACTCAGTTGTTAAACATCATTTATTGAATTTTCTTTTGCTCATTGATACTTAATGTCAGCGCCATTGTCATTTACCAAATTATGCATTTTGGTCACTTTCAGACTGTGCTCTAGGTTTATTGATCTGTTAATCAGTTCATTTATGTGTTAATACTACATAGTTTTAATTCAGCTTTATATGTTATGGTCTCTTACAAAGCAAGTCCTCCTTCATTACTCTTTTTTTTTTTTCCAGGATGTTCCTGGCTTTTCAAAAGCAACAGTTTCTTAATCTGTAAAATGATAATAATGTCTCCCTCACAGTATTTGCTAATCATTCATGTAAAGCATTTACTTTGTTTGCTATTGATTAAATACTCAAGTTATTGTTTGTGCTCTCGTTACATTAATACAAAAAAATAAATAAGCTTTTTAAGGTACTTTTGTATAGATCATCTGTTTAACTTTCATATTTTGGTTCTGATCACTTTTCTTCAAAGGGCCTAACCATATGCCTATGCAGGGACCTGGACCCAATCAACTCAATATGACAAACAGTTCCATGAATATGCCTTCAAGTAGCCACGGGTCCATGGGAGGTTACAGCCATTCCGTGCCATCGTCCCAGAGCATGCCGGTACAGAACCAGATGACTATGAGTCAAGGGCAGCCAATGGGAAACTATGGCCCCAGACCAAATATGAATATTCAACCAAACCAAGGTAAGTAAGCTTTATAAAATTCTTGACTAGGATGCTCCATTAGCCTTCGAAAATCAAACAGTTTTTTCAAAATGTTAGCTGATTTGCAAAATTACAAGTTTGAAGTGAGGAACAATAATACCCATAGAAAAGGAACGTCAAGTTCGAAACCAACTTAAAATAATTTTTCCCTTTTATATTTAGAAATTAACATGCTCAATTTAGCTTTTTAAGCTTATTTATTTTTATGTCTTTTGGACAGTTTGAGATTTTATATTTTTGGATTTTTAAGCTAATCAGTGAATAACCAAACATTTGGTTAGAGCTAGAAAACTGAGAAAATACAATTTTATCTTTGTAAGTACACTCCTTAAAAAACATCTGTTCTGTGGTTCATTTTACTTGTGAAGAATATATTAATTTCTATGAATTTCCCTTGATTTAATGTTTCCTGATGCTGTGTTTCAGCATTAAAGGTAATTTTAACATAATTTGTTATTAGAATGTTCAGTGGAGGTGCTGCTGTATTCTTATATTCTTAGAGTGGTGTGAAGTCTATTAAAGTTTATTACCAGCCTCAGAGAATGAAATTGTTATCATGTTTCTCTTTTAAGTATTCCTGTGAATAATAACTAAAAACCAGTAAGTGGCGCTCTGTTCTGCTAATTGCCTGGGAAAACATTTGGCCTGTTGCCAGCCTAAAGCTATTTCAGTTACTAAATGTGGTGAGGTTAAGAGCCTAAGACAGAATTAAATGTATTTGCAATAAAATTTTCTAGATTTTGCTTATGAAAAACACATCACCAGAGTACACCCAGAAAAAGGAAGTTAATCTGTTGATCATGATTTTTCATGAAATAATATATTGTAATTTTAAAATATTAATAAAGATATTTTCTGTAATTTAGATAAAATACACTGGAAACAAAGGGAGATAATAGGACAAATTGTCAGTGCATGCAGCTTCACAAAACTGGCACTTGCTCCGTTTTTCCCCGCAAAAGTTGTTCAGTGCCCATGGTGGAGTATTTTTTTTTTTTTTAATTCTATCAATTAAAGGTTCAAAACAACAGCAAGATCCAGTCAGTGCTAGATCAGAAGGTTCAGATGTTTCTCTGTACAGTTTGGTTACCAGGAAAAAGCAGAAAAATTGATAGTGATTCTTTACAGCAACCGCTGTAGTTATGGTACACTTCTTAGAAACTATAGTTAAGGAAAGGTAGGATGTGTGCAAAAATGGATGTTGCTGCAGCTGGTTTGATATGACATTATAAGATCTGAAGAAGAAAAAATAATGCGTGCAGCAGTGTGTATGTAGAAACTAGTTAACTGTTTTTTGGAGAAAGGACTTGAAGTGTTTATAGGAATTTTTTGTTCAAAACATAGGGACCAACTAGTCTTTCTGTTTTTTTTTAACTAAAATTATTTTTCTTTTATTGAGTTATAATTAACATACAATATTAGTTTCAGGTGTACAACATCATGATTCGATATTTTCACACATTTTGAAATGATCACCACAATAAGTCTAGTTACCAACTGTCACTGAACAAAATTGTTAAATATTATTGACTGTATTCCCTATGTGAAAAATTAAAAAAAAACTGTATTAATGCAAAGGCTAATATAATAAAAACATGTAGACATACCACACAAAACATGTCATTTCAAAAAGCTGCTCAAAAAGTTGGCCCTATTAAATTTACTGATTATATATTACTATGTTCATGGTCATTATAAAAATTTCAACAGTTACTATTTTTTTAGCTTTAAAAGAAAAATGAGTTTAGATGACAGTGGCATTGTAATTGGTGCCTACTTTTAGTTGTAGTTTTATTTATTTATTTTTAGTTGTGGTTTTATACTTATCTGTGAATTGAGAGAACTGAAATATTTTTTAATTCAGCATTTAGGTTTATTATTTTAGCAGAATATTTCCCTCTAAGTTTTCTTATGAGGACTACTGCTTTTAGGTGAAAGGTTTAGCAAGTTTTTAATGTTAATTTCTTTCTTAAATTGCTAGGAAAATGTTGTAAACAGTCAATCCAACAAACTTTCCATGTTATTCTCACTGTTATCCAGATGAAGTTCAGTGACCATCACTTTGAACTTTAGGAGTAAGACCTGTGTTCAGAGTGAATCACTGTCTTCTTACGTATTGGATCTACTCACTCTTGGAGAGAGAGCGTAAGCTCCACTGGAATTCAGAAAGCTCCAAAAAGGGAGAAGTTTGCCTCTTTTGTTCACACTGTTTTGTTCTGGTGCCTAGAACAAAACCTGAGGGTAGGCATACAAATCTGTCTCTTCAGTGAATAGGAACTGAAACCAGATGTTATATGATAACCCGGAAAGACAGAGTTAGTGCCTTAAAGATGTTTCTTTAAACGTCAAATTGAATAGTAAGGCTTTCTGGACCAACAGTTAGCATTTGGTAGAATCAGCAGTTTTCATTCCCAGGCATTAGTGATTATTGCTTTCCACATTTAACACCATTTTACTTACTTATTCCATATTCAAATATAAGGATTTTCACAAATTGTTACATTTGTGTTAAAGCATGTATTTCACAAGTTCCGGGTATGGTATATAATTCTTCAGACTTGGATCCAAGTCTTAGCCCCATAGATTACCGTGTGTGGGATCTTTGACTCACTCACTCAATTTCTTTAAGTAAGATTAAGTGAGATGATAGCATTTAAAAATCCTAATTCGGTAATTGTATAGTTTACATAAAATCAGTTAGAATAAACAAGGTAGTTTTTTTTTTTGTAATAAAAAGTTGAGATCAGTTTATTGGCTATTGTCTTTTTTAACCATAAGATCTAATTTATTTCTGGCTTTAATTTTGTTTGAATAGTATTAAGAAAGTTTTGATTCATTTAGCTAATAAGTTGCAAGTGATAATCTGATCTAGAGGCTTGGCATTAGAGTAGTGGGAAATTTTTCTTTCAGTACCTTTATTATTGTAAATATGAAGGGCAAAAAGTATGTATTACCATAGCCAGGACTGTTAATATTTACTCTTATTGTACAGTGGTTTATTATCTAATCAGAGCTGTACACATCTTTGGGTTAGTAGCTACTGTTATTATCCTCATTCCGTGCATGAGGAAACACATCCTTTGGAAATACAGGCAGGCCTGCTGTTGCAAAGTTCTGATATACATGAACTTCTGTTACCACAATTTAGTTAAATAACACCTGTTGCTGAACAACATGGTTCACAGTTCACTTACCATGGTGTATTAACTGTGAGTAGTTGCATAAAGCACAAACTTGGCTGCTGTCTCCTCAGTCCACAAATCACTATTTATGAGTGTCATGATCGATGACCATTCACGTCACTTTCAGATTCTGTCAGTGATTGATCACTGTGCATCCATCAGTTATGCACATAACAGCAAAGCATGGAGTTGTGTTGGTTCTTTGGCTCCCAGAGATACATGTTATTTTATAAAAATAGATAATTCAAAGAGGGCCTTGGCCAACAAAGATAAAAGTCTAACAAAGAAATGAAAAGTAATACTGCGGGAAATAAATCCAAGTCCTTTGTAAGTAGAATTAGAGAAGGAATTGCTGACCTTGGGAATGTTGACACTGCTGCCATTTGAGAGACTCTAGATCTGCATTGCAGGTCCTCAGTGAAGGTCAACTTGCTGATGTAAATGAGGAAACTGGCTGTGATGAAAGAACGAAGATGTCCCAGAGAAAGCGAGACTAGCAAAATATTTTGTATTAAGGAAAGTCTTGGAGACATTTCATAACATTGAAAGCACAAAGGATAAAACGTTGGAAGTTGATCTGTACTCTTTTTAAAAAATTTATTTATTTTTGGCTGCATTGGGTCTTCGTTGCTGTGCGCGGGCTTTCTCTGGTTGCAGCGGGCAGGGGCTACTCTTCGTTGTGGTGCACAGGCTTCTCATTGCGGTGGCTTCTCTGGTTACGGAGCATAGGCTCTAGGCACGTGGCCTTCAGTAGTTGCAGCACGTGGGCTCAGTAGTTGTGGCTCATGGACTCTAGAGTGCAGGCTCAGTAGTTGTGATGCATGGGCTTAGATGTTCTGCAGCATGTGGGATCTTCCGGGACCAGGGATCAAACCCTTGTCCCCTGCATTGGCAGGCAGATTCTTAACTACTGCGCCACCGGGGAAGCCCTGGAAGTTGGTCTATACTTAAAAAGGAATATGCCAATCTGCCAAGCTATAGAAAAGACACTAGCTCCGAATCATCAGTTACATCATGACAATTTGGGGGTAGCATCTTTTCGAACTAAAGATGGGAAGATACTAAATCATGTTTATATACTGATAGGAATGATCCATTGGAGAGAGGGGAATTGATGCTGCAAAAGAGTGAGGAAAGGAACAATTGCAGGAGCAATGTATTTGAGCTGCTGGGAGGAGTTTGAGGTCAAAGTCCCCAAGACTTCTGTCACCTCTGAGTCTAGCCAACTGCAGAGTTACCTGGAACAGTCCCCAAGGTTTGCTTCATATCTGACACCAGTTACAAGTCTAGGGTTCCCAAAACTACTCTCAAGTTCAGTGATTTGCTGGAAAGACTCACAGAACTCACTAAAAGTTGTTATACTTAGAATTATGATTTATTACAGTGAAAGGATACAGATTAACATCAGCCAAGGGAAGAATCCAGAAGACGTATGAATGCAGAGTTTCTTTCCTCATGTAGTCAGGATGCTTTGCTCTCCTGGTCCAGTGTGTGACACACAGAGTATTGGTAACCAGGGGAATTCACCCGAACCTCCATCAATGTTCAGAGTTTATACTGGGGCTCCATTATGTAGATTTGATTGATTGATTGATTGATTGCTCACGGTGTCTATCTCAGTCTCCAGTCTCTGGTCCCTCTGGGCATGGTTCAAAGCTCCCGCCAACCAGGTTCGGGAGCTTTAGGAATCCTCAGTTTAATAAATTTAGTAAATCTTCAATATAAAAAAGCACTGTGATATTATACTGAATTTCAAGTACAACATAGAATATCTACAAATGAAAGAATTATTTCAAA